ACACCACCCCAAAGTTTGGGGGGTGGGGGGCCCTATTGCATGAGTGTGTGTGTGTGTGTGCGAGAGTGGAGCGGATGTGAGCGGAGCGCAGCGCAGGGAAGGGGAGGGGAGTGGAGTAGAGTGGAGTGAGTGAACCACCCGGAGGGGTTGTGATTCCCCCCCCAATTCGAAAAAACACAAAACAAAGAAAAGAAACTATATTCTCCCGAGCTGCTGGTGGACCCTTCCGCCGCTCCCACTCCGCGCTGATCTCCTGGGACATCCCCGGGATGTCGGACACCACAAGCACGCTCGGCGCCGCGCCGGCCATGCGGACGCCGAAGCCGCGACGAGAAACGGCGCGGCGTATCGCGGGGACAAAGGCCATGGCTACGAGCCAAACCGCACGTCCGAGCTGTGCAAGACAGGAGTCCAAGAGGAAAGACGACAAGAAGTTCAGATTAGTCACATCCCACAAAAGCATCGAATGCTTAGAGCGCAACTGCCAAAATCACTTGGAATGACTTGACGCAGAAGACATATTCAGTAGGCCACTGCCAAATGTTCCTTGCATCGCAATGTGACGAGTAACCAACAGGATGCCATGTGCCGACCCGATTGACCATTCTTCTGGAGGCCTTTGGAGGGCAATGGACACGGCATTTCTTGGATAGCAACGTGATGGCCACCCAACTGCCATAGCGCCGGGACCCGCCTTGAGTTGCTTCAACCTGGCGACGGCAAGTTGTTTTTTTTCAAATCTGCAACTTCCATCTACGATGGCAGGATTTTCCCTTTACTTCCTGCACCCTGCATGTTTGCCTTGGCAAGTTCCATGGAGTATGAGCAACAGCTCATACTAGTCCTGATGTTCCTCATGAAGCCCTGCCGAAACCACAGTGGGCGCATTCAGAGCCAAACTATACCGCCGACCATGATGATGTGTAGTGTGTCAATTCGTCCTAGCTCTGTCCATGGCTGGCCCGTCATGCTCCCCCTCAAACATACTGCCCTTCAAATCAAAAAGAACCCCAAAAGCCATGATTTGGAGAGGAATCTTTGGGTTGTCTGGGGCTCCATGTTCATTTGGAGGGGGTTCTTGTCCCCTTGAAAGGCAGCTCCATCCACAGCCGGTGATGTCACTCGCCACAGAAAAGTTGGGGGCGAAAGATCCATCTGGCCATCCAAACGAAAGCTTGCAGCTGGGCTCCTTTAATAGCTTGCTTGTCTCCAAGTGGCTTGGAACCGCCCCCACCGTTGGTTGCTAAACCCGCGATTTAAGGGTACCCGCAAAAAAGACGCATCTAGTTGTTTCCAGCAGTGCCTGTTCACCGTCTCGAAGCTGTTCTCCGCTGGGCTGAGGTCCGTCCACTTCACCTGGGATTCGGAGCCAAACAGCCAAAATCAAAAAAATACCGAGACCCTTCGCCAACGGGTGTGTCTCTTTTTGGCGAACTCCCTTTTGCTTGGGTTTGAAGAGAAACCAAAGGAAAACCAACCATTTTGGAGGAATATCGCCTGAGAGATCTCCTTTTCCCCCAACAAGTCCACCAACCAAAGAGTTCCACCAGACCCCAAGCCTCGTAGAGAAACTCGCGGTCCTTCTCCTTGGTCTTCTCCTTGCCATCCTTGGGGCGAGGTTTGTTACACCTGGAGCCCCCGAAATAGCCGATGCCATAGACAGCAATGCCATGGAAGATGCGCCATGGAAGATATGATATCCCCAGAATCAAAAAAACGAAGATGTGGGTTGGGACGGTACTGGGAATGCTCCTGTGAGGGTTCGGGACAGGTGCACACCTTCGGGCACACAAGAACCTAGTGCAGCTCTCGCTGCGTAAGCCACTTTGAAGCCAACTCCGGGGCCTGCGTCGGAGAACTGACTGCTGCCAAGGCGCCGTGATCTCAATTCCTCGTGTCTGCATGCCGCTCAAATGCTTACGCGCTTCGACCGGGCACACATAAGCTGCCATGGTTGGCCATTGAGCTCATTTCGTTTTGGAGACGTCCGGTTCAGAAGCCACCCCACTCAGCCCAGCTCGCATGTCACCAAGCGGATGTTGTTGGTGTCATTTTAAGTGGAAGGAAGCGGACACGTGCCGGGCCTGCCCAAAAATGGCTCTTGCCCATAGCCTTTCTCCCTCGCGTTCTGTCCGACCCTCTCCTTTCCGCCCTCTCGCCTCCAACCCACTCGACAGGTGTTTCTCAACACTCGTCATTAGACTGACACCAGCAAGAAAAACATGTGGGCGCCTACAGGCACCATTAATATTGGGCCATATCATAAAGGAACTTATAAACATGTGCGTATTTGTGGGCTGGTATTTCGGATTAAGAGCAGGGCGGGCCAAAAAAGCATCTGGCACCATCCCGACCTAAATCTCAGGCTTCCGCACAACAGCTGTTTTGGGTACCATCGGCCCGGGGACTCCACAGCAGCCAAGGGGCGATTCACCAAGGCCTCTACGCCCTTCCCACGCTTCCCATGACGCACTCCGCTGTTGCGCATGTCGTCCTCGTCCTTTCGGATTCGTCCGGTGCCTTTGAGTGAATGAACCCGTGAGGCAGGTTTCAGGCGTCAAAGAGCACTAGAAAACATGCACAACTCTCAATTTGAATGTCGCTGCCTAAATGTCACGGACCAAAGTTCACAGCCATGGCCTTCATAGGCTGAATCACTCCCCAGCACGCCTTTTGACATAGGCACAGCGATTGTCACATTGGGTACACAACTGTGTCAAAACAAGGCAACCGTCCTTCCCAGACAGCACACCACAAGGCCACCCACAAACGTCCAAACTGGAAGTGTAAAAACAACAGCCGGCACATGCGATGTGGCAAAGCTTGGGTTGCTGCCACTAGGAAAAGACCAGTGCCTGTTCCCTATGTCAGCTTGTGCTGTTTGAACTGAAGGAACCGCGATCAGGCAGCTCAGGGTTGGGAAATAAACTGGGTGGGAAAAATGGCAACCTGCATGGGCCTCGAGCCGCAGGCTGCCGTTCCTTCAAACTTCAAGTTGTGCAATCCAACAAGCTCAAAGACCCTGTTGGCTCCACACAACTCTCAATTTGAATGTCGCTGCCTAAATGTCACGGACCAAAGTTCACAGCCATGGCCTTCATAGGCTGAATCACTCCCCAGCACGCCTTTGACATAGGCACAGCGATTGTCACATTGGGTACACAACTGTGTCAAAACAAGGCAACCGTCCTTCCCAGACAGCACACCACAAGGCCACCCACAAACGTCCAAACTGGAAGTGTAAAAACAACAGCCGGCACATGCGATGTGGCAAAGCTTGGGTTGCTGCCACTAGGAAAAGACCAGTGCCTGTTCCCATCGTCGCAACAAACTGACACCCATCGGCGCACTAGAAGATTTGATGCTCAGCCGTCTACATCACTTGAACTACCTGAGTCACAAGCTACATTGAGAAACGCAGCTTTATCGAATTCATCTTCATCTGCATACGCGAGCACTGCGGAAGATCTCCACTCTCCTGCCTGCATCACCTGGAAAAGGGAGAAACCTTCGCGAGCCAGAGCTGCTGCCTTTCCGGCCCGCAAACACTTGAATGAGAACCCCTTGTGGTCAGGAATTTGCAACAACTTGAGCATGTTGCGAAAACGAGTCAGCGCCACAGACTGTGTCAAAGTAAAAAGCCGTTGGCCGCGGGAAAGTTGCCCCAGCCGCACAGCCAGACGGTGCCCCACACACAGCGGGCTCCGCTGGTGAGGCCCACACACACACGGTCTAACCAACAAGGAACCCTGTGGCCGATGCTTTCGCTGACGCAATCGCAAATGCAAAGTGTTGGCGGGATCAACAAACACTGTGGAATGTCTTCCGGGGGGCAAATCATGCACATCTTCAAAAGTGCCCTGCTCCAAAGGCAAGGCCTCACTCTGAACTCTTAGCAGAGCTTGCCAACTCAAGAGCACCACATCTCCTAGCTGGCTGAATAAATCAATGCCATCGGCTAAGGTGAGAAGACGTGTCAGCAAATCTTCGTGCATCAGCCTGCGCCTGGTCAAGGCGCCTGCCCTTGATGCCACATACTGCTTGTGGAGCCCCCGCAGAGTCATTTTGAGTTCACCGCTATGCCACTCCAAGGACAAGGACATGTATTCGCACGCCCATTTCAGATACCCCACATAATTTCTGGCAGTCCCTGGGTTTCCGAAAATTGCGACAAACAGGGACACATCGTGCGCACACTTTGGGGGAAGAGAACTGTCTTCCGAATAGCCCAGCACTGCGCAAGCAAACGTGTGCCAAAGACGAAGCCCTGACGCCACACACTTCAAGGAGCCCATTCGTGTCTGCAGCTTCAGGGAAGAGATTGCACTCTCAAGCTGCTCACGGGCCACGTTGGGCGGCAACTGCTGTAACTGCTTGCAAGTCAATGATGGACTATTGCAAATTGCGGAAATGCCCACGTTAGCTTTCTTCAGGCTTTCAGCTACCAATGTCGCTGGTAGCGTGGCCACTGCCCCGCCAGTGGTAAGATCGCCTTTCTTTGCTGGCTTGTTGTTCATGGCCGACACTGCGGACATGAGAAGCGTCCGGACCTTCTCACACATGGCCAGGTTGGCGACCTCCTTTGGACGTGCCCCTACCAAATGAGCGGGGTCTTGAAAGCCACTGGTCACCAGGAGCACCGCTGCATCAAGCTGCCATGCGCTGACCAACGCAGACTCTTCTACACCCTGGAGAAACTCTGCCATCTTCATGACCGCTGCTTCGAAGGCATCGGCTCTGAGGCCTGCAAATGGTCGCAAGGCCTTGTCCTGCCCTGCACCCCTTTTCTTGGCCTGAGCTTTCCAAGACAAACAAGCAAGGCCTGTCTTCTGCGCTGCCACTCATTGGGCAGCAATCCCCACACCCGGTCAGCATTGAGGATAAATCCGGCGCCACTGGCGCTCAAAATCGAAGCATCCACGTTCATGCGCTCTGCCGCGTGAAGCTTTGTGTGCAACGTCTTTGCATCCTTCAGCAGCCATGCCCGAGTCACTTGCTGGGCCCACTCTTGCGCCAGAAAATGGTCATGGCACAACTCTGGCATTGCCACTCGCTGAATTCTTTGAGCCAACATCCGAGCAGAGTTCAACAGAGCAAGCACGCGCATCCCAGCAACTCATATTTATGACCACATGTCCTTGACCCATTCGGGTAAGTGCGGTGGCACAAACTTTGCGCTCAATCTGGCAAGCACAGTGAGATCTTCGCGTGTTGGCCCGTCTGCCACATTCGCAGCGCTTTCCACTCTGGCCACATGCAAAAAGGCTCCTGCTTTTGCCAGCTCCAGCCACAGGCGACCCACACAGGAATGTGTCTCGGGACTGCCTCCGCTTCCTTTCAGGAGAGCGTGTAAAATAGAATTGTTGTCCACAAATGCCATCCACGCAGCCCTCGTGAGCAAGGGGAAGAATGTGCCCCATGCCAACAGCAGCGCTAGCAGCTCTTGAAATTGGATTTGGTGATCGTTTCTTTCCAACAGCATGTCCCACAAAGCCGCGGGCGTTTGCATGCGAGTAAACAGAAACTGCCACAGCACTGCGGCAATCCATCTGGATTCACCTGCTGCGTCAGACCAAGTCACCACTTGAGATCTGCTGTCTTGAGGAAGCATGCGCACTGACACGGGGCAACATTCCAAGTATTGCAGAAACCAGGCCCCGGCTCTGCGAAGCGCTGGCGACAAGCCGCCTTTTGGTAAGGGGTCATGCGCCTGCGCGTGAAAAGGCTTGATGTAAGCACGACCCACTTTGTTCCCAGACACGGTCACTGAGAACCCCAGTCTCCCTGCCATTTTGGAGGCTTCTCCCGCCGCAAGTTCCTGGCAATCCAGCATGTGCTGAAGCAATGCCCTATATTTCTGGGCCTTGTCATGGCTGACGTGAGTGAAAATCTGCTGCTGCTTCCATGAGACTTGCACTGAAGCACCCAGGACAACCATTTCCCAAGTTGCATCTGCATCTTTGGAGTGGTCCGTTGGGAACCCCAGCAGCCTGCTCAAAAACCGAGAGGATACGTCCTGATGACCATGTAACTCCTGATCTGGACGCGCCGAAATAGTCATCCACATAACGATTCGCTGGCGCCAGGAAGAATCTCACTAGAATCAGCCACAGCATGTGGCCCACCCGGTGCCACCCATAGACAGCTGAGATGGTGCCAAACGGCATGCCGAAGTGCTGCGACACCCATATTTGCCCATGAGACTTCCACACCGTCCAGGCCAAATCATGATGGTCAGCCTGGATAGGGACACGACGGAACGCTTTGGAAATGTCCCGCTTCCACATGTGAGCTTCCACTCCTGCAGACATGAACCTCTGCAGCAACACCACTAGCGAGTCGAGTGAATGGTGCTGGATTTTGTCAACTGGGGCAGTGGCAGAATTTATTCCGCTCTCAGTCTCATGGTCGACCACTCGCGTGCGCCACCCTGATGCCCTTTCTTCCCGCACTGGTATGCGCCGAGTCAAGGACTTGGTGCGCAAGTCACTCGGCACCAGTAAGCGCGCCGAAGACATGAAGCCCTCCTGGGAATCTTCCAGCGTTTGTTCCAGAATGTCAGAGCTATGCGGCAACTCCCCAAGCGAGCTTACCACTTTTTGGTTCAAAGCTTCGCGGTTTGCCCTCAACTCTTGGACAGACAAAGGAAAGGAAGGGTACGCAGCTGACGCCGACCCTTCGCATTCTGGAAGAACCTCTACCAGAGGAAAGCCTTGCTGCAATGCCCGCAGGAAGGCTTCTGCTTGCACGTCAATGGCGTGGAGCAACATTTTCCACAGCGGACCATGGATGCGCCTCACCACAGGCTGGAGCGTGGGCGGGGCTCCCTCCGACCACACAGATTGCTCCATTTCCAGCTGCGCTGCGATGAAAATTAGTCGCTCCAATCGCTCTTGTCTGAATGCGTCCACATCAGGGGTTGGCAACGCCAATTCAAAGTCAATGGCCTCTTGAACGGCAGGGTCAATCACACTCGCTTCGCAGGCAGGGTGCGGCAAAGTGAGGGCAAATTGAACATGCTGCAGCGGCGTCAAGCCTTCAATGGCACCTGCACCCCATGGCACAAACTGCACCTCTATGTGAGGACACATGTTTCTTTCTTCCGCTTGCAGCTTCAGCGGCAAGGGGCAGGTGTCACCTGCCGCCGCCATAGGAACTGGCCAGGACGTCTGCAGCGCACGAGCCCTGACCTTCAAGGCAGTGTCCAAAAGCTCTGCAAACCTGACACCCAACAACGGCGGGTATGTTTGGGCCAGCCTTGTGCGGAACACTTTCTCACCCTGCCACTCTACCACACCTCGAAGGGGAATGGTAGGCGCCTGCCATGGGCACACACCTTGCTGTGGGCCATGCAGCGTTGGCGTGTTGTGCAGGAACAAGGTGGGCTTGGAAAAGGGGGCCCCGAAGTCCGAAAACACCAGCCTAGTGAGGGACACCCCGTCATGAGCTCGAAGCTTTGCAAATGGCGGAAGCACCCAAAGCCATGAAAGTTCCGGGTTC